CCCTGGAGATAGAAGGAAACTGTATGGGATTCCTGATACTCATCAGCGGGGTAAGATCAGTGGTATGGTCTAATGGTTGGTGCAATTGAAATGTAAAGCATCTCTTTTAGGTGCAAGGTGGGGGAAAGACTGTGTGTGTATAATAGGAAAAGGCATGCTGTTTTGTTAAAAGCAAATATATACACATACACATGAAAACAAGGCTAATGTTGCCTTTAAATCAGTTGACTTCACTTTTTTCTCTTTGAGAAATAATAATATAGAATGCAAAGAATTGTATTAGTAGGAGGGAACTTCTGAAAGAAATATGTAAAATTGTAGGGTGGAGTAATATTTTTCATCTGTGTTTAATTTGTAAACTAACTACAAATGAAATTCCTGTATTCTTTCATGACGTCAGATTCATGAATTTGCATTGATGCGCAACCATTAAGAGCATAAAAAAGGGCTGCCTGCATGAGTTACCCATTCAGTTCCTAATAGATGTATCACTTACTCCAAACCCTTCCCTTTTCTTGCTTTTCTCAAGTATTGAAATAACTGGAGGCCAACCAGATTTCTTTTGTAGTCTTTTTAATTGTAATTGCTGCCTAAAGGCATTGGGTAATTAAAAATAAAGATCTCGTTATTTGAGGTACTTCTAGCTTTTATCTTAATATGTCAGAGCAGGCCACTAGCTTGATTATACAAATGTTGACATAACATCCTTAACAGTTAAGGTCAAATGGGGCCCTCTATGTTTTACTTATTGCTAATGTGAAATGGGAGTATTGAATGAGTGCTAATCACTATTATAACCACTTGATGGTATATAAACACACCTCTGTTTTCACTTGAACCAGTTTATTCCATATGTATGGATTTAATATTGCCACATGTATGTTGGTTTCATTAGATTTTTTTATCAAATTGCAATAATAATAAGAATCTGTTTGAAGTCTGTATTTCAGGTAGTGAAATCCTTAGTTCATTATAGCTGTTTGTCACTTGCTTGTATCTAAATTAAAACTGAGATCCCTGTGCTGGAAGATTTTAGATTATTCTGTAGTTCATTGGTTGGGAAGAGGGCCTTTACAGTTGTAAATGTGTATTAGGAAATTATTACGATAGTGTAAAGAGTGTGGCAAGTCTGAAACAGCTGGTGACTATGAACCGTGAAGCTTAAAATACATTTCAAGTTTGATGGTTCCATGTGCTGCTGAGAGGAAACTGCAACTCTGGCTCATCAACGTGGTAGGGAAACCCTGTGAGATGGAGCAGGGTTTTCCGCTGCTGCAGTGAGTTCTGCTGGATCATGAACCAGTCTTGTGACAAGTAGTGCTGGTGTGACAAGGGAGCAGTAAGCCATTGGGAGGAAGGTGGGAGTGACCGAGATTCTGCTTTTTCAGTCAAATTATCCCATGAGACACCAAGTCCTGTGAAAAGAGCCTACCATCATTGAAATGAAAAGTCTTGCTTTTCCCAGCTCTTTGCTATGTGGTTCCTCCCCTGCCTTTGTTCAGGTACTTGCAGTACCCATAGTGGCTAAGCTACTTCCAGTCACTAACCTGGAAGAAGAATATTTCGGTTTTGTTGGATTAGTTTACCATCCAGATGGTAGATTGAACTTGGTCATGATGAAATCCAGTGAGCCCCAAAGCTGTGGTTAAGGTTAGGGAAGAGCTTGTAGCTGTGAGCCAAGAAGCTAAAAAATGGAGTGAAAGAAGAGAAGCTTTCTCTTTGGATAGTCATTAGCTTAGATTAGATCATCCTCAGATGGATTGATTGACGTGAATAAGATTAAATGCTGCAAAACTGTCATTTGTTTAGTATGTAGATTACCTGTGGCAGAACTAAAATGTGAGAAAAAGAAATAGTATGTTACAGAGTACTTGATACAGTCAGAAGCAGGATTACTGTCTACCCTTGACTGTTCATTTCAACCCAGCAGCAGTCATCTGGTACATCCTTTCTGTGCATTTCCCACTTTTTTTGGCAGCTTTCGGCTTGGTCAAGAACAGGGGTTGCTTTCTGTTGTCAGGACTTACTTTGCAGCAATTTACCTGAATATAATCTGTCACTGCTAGAGCTAATGTTTTGCCTTTGTGTATTCTTCCAGCTGTCAGAAAAAGGGCCAGAACAACCATGGCTGCAGCATGAAAGGACAAAGCTCCATGAAAATAGCTCTGAATGTAGCGTGATAAAGTGTGGAATAACATGTTTGGTTCTAGGAAATGCAGAACTAAGAAAATATAGTAGTTTTGATGTGAATAAAAGAACAGGAGAGTATGTAGAATACATGT